CAATCTCATGGAAGTGCTCACTAGAGGTAAAGATCCTGCAGACTTTCTGCTTTTCAGTAAGAAATGTTCCTTTTGTTAGGAGAGGCCAGCCTTTCATTTCTAATTAATGTCTGTACTTTGCTACTTTCCTGATAACCAGAATCATATCAAAATATTTATTTGTTGCCTGATAGCTTTTTCCTCCTTTTATTGGCCATTGGAAAATCATAGCCAAATACTAACTAACCATTAGCTACTGTGAAGAACACAGTGGTTTGATTTTTATGTTGTAACTTTATTCATTTTCTTCTTCCTCTTACCTCATTTAATGAGTATTCATTTTATATTCTATGTTGCTTCTAGAATACAAAATATATTTATTTGACATTCAGTTCTTGCATTGTGATAAAAAATTTGGTGACTATGTATAAAGTATGCAAGTTTTATTCCTACAAAGATAGTACTCTGTAATCCTAAAGCAAATAAATTGAAGTCTGATATTTAGCAGAGGAGTTTCAGAGTATATGGATAATGATCAAATCAGGTAATTAGCATTTATGAATCCTTAAACATACTGTATATTAAATTATTTCACTTTACTCCATAAATACATAAATTTATTGTATATCAATTTTTTTAAATTGAAGACTAAGGTGATCACTTTAAACTAGTCATTTGGGTTGTATCCTTGCACATTGAGGCTTCTGATGTTCTTCGTCTGGTGGAGTTGCATGAGAAATCCAAGGTAGAAGTCTGCACGGATAATACTGCACTGCATGACAGTGATTAATAATGCCAGCTGGGCCGGGGATTTAGCTCAGTGGTTCTGCCGCCTGCTTCGAAAGCACAAGGACTGGAGTTCGATCCCCAGTACCAAAAACAAACAAACAAATAATGCCAGCCATTCTTTGTGAAGTTCTTCATGTGTCAGGCATTGTGCTAGAATATGTACACATGTAAGAGTATATACTTTCTCATCCTTTTAAGATACTTATAAGGATTTACATTTTAAAAATAAATTCTGATAAAGGGAAGACTATGCCTAAAATTATTGATGGTAAATTACAGAATCCCATCTGATTTCAAATACTTTCTCTTATCTCTAAACTACATTTCTGTGCTTTAAGGGACCTCATGTATACTCTGCAGTCATTAAATGATTTCCGTTGATAGTCTTGATGTTCCAAGATGCTGTTTCTAGGCTCATTTAAATATTAATTAGATAGCAATAAATCCATAGTCATTATATGATTAACCCTGAGAACTTAGGATCATTTATAGGGCAGGATTTATACTTTCATGGACTTGAATGTCATATGTGTAGAACTCTCAGTTTGAAATCTGCCCCTAGGAAAACTGTGAGTATGGCCTTTATTCTTACTGGATTATTATTGTCTTTTTTAATTATACGAGTTCTTTGTATATTCTGGATACTAGATCATTATCAGATTTATGTTTTGCAAATATTTTGTGACCATAAAAGTTCTTAATTTTTAAGAAGTCCATTTTATGTGTGTGGTGGTTTTTTGTTTTCTGTTTTTTACCATTAGTGTTTTAGGTGTCCTGTCTTAAGAAATCATTATCTAACCCAAGATCACTAAGATTTATATTTTTTCTAAGAATTTTATAATGTTTGATCATATACTTGGAAAGATGTATTTTAAACTCCCAGTTTCATTTTGTCCATCCATATATGTCTGCCCATACTCCCTTATTTTGGTTACTGTAGCTTGGTAGTAAATTTTTTAGTGGAAAAATATATGGTCTGACCTTTCCATATACAGTTGATACAAGTGTATTCTGCTCTTATTGGTGGAGTGTTCTTCAGGTGTCTGTTAGGACTGATTGGCTTCAGTTCTTCTAATTTCTGTTTTATGTGTCTGGATGCTTTTAGGTTGTGTTGTATATGCGTGCATGCTTGCTTGCTCTTTTATCTTCTTGGATAAAATGAACTGACCTTGTTATTTAAAAATATCTTTTCTCCACTAACAGTTTCTATTTTAAAATCTATTTTGCCTAATATTAGCATTATAGCTACTCTAGCTCTCTTTTTATTATATTTCTCCGTTATATCTTTTTTCTTTCAGTGTATTTTTGTCTCTAAATCCAAACCATGTCTTTTCTAGACAGAATGTGGTTGGATTATTTTTTTCTATGATGCCAGTTTCTGCCTTTTAGTTGATATAGTTAATCCATTTACTTTCACCATAATTATCTATAAGGTAGAATTTACATCTGCCATTTTGCTCTTTGTTTCTTATATATCTTTTGTCTTTCTTGTACTTTACTGTCTTCTTTTGTGTTATTTTTTATTACTCTACTTTAATGCCCTTGTTACTTTTCTACACTTTTCTTTTTTAATTATTTTCTCACCCTGCCTTAGGATCATGATTTACCTCTTAATTTCTTTTCTAGAACAAAACCAGATTGCTTTTTGTTTGTTTGTTTGTTTGTTTGTTTGTTTGTTTGAGACAAGGTCTTGCTATGTAGTTCAGGTGGGCCTTGAACTCACTGTGTGCCCCCAGCAGGCCTCAAACTCACTGCAATCCTCCTACCACAGCCTCCCAAGTGCTGGGACTACAGGTGTGTGCCACCACACTTTCAGCAGTGCACAAAAACTTTCTTATAGTTCAGTTCTCTCCTCTCACCTTGCATTGATGCTGTCATACAATTTATATCTTTACATATTGTGTGCCTGTCTTCGTCACCTTCTTTGTTTGTGGGACACAATACTTGACACCTGAAACTTAAAAGAGGAGAGATTTATTTTGGCTTACGTTTTGGAAGTTTCAGACCTTGCATTGTGCAAGGGCGTGGGAGATGGAAAGCTACCCACATCTTGGTAGACAGGAAGCAGAGAGTGAAGGGTGGAGCCAGGGAGGGAGATGCCCTTCCAGGTCACACCTCTGGGGACCCGAGTCTTCTAACCACACCCCACTCCTAAACTCCAAGCCTGCTACAGGCCTTGGAATCCACCTGCTTTCCACAAGCCCCACCTCTGAGCACATAAGTCTGTGGGGGACATTAGATATAAGCCATAGCAATGCCCACCAGCACAGATTTGTAATTATGTCTTTATGCAGTTGTATTTTAGATCAGATAGAAGAAAAAAGAATGTAAGCCAAAAACTGCATTTATATTGTCTTTAATATTTATCTAAATATTTATCTTTACTGGTGTTCTTCATTGTCTCTTCTGGATTCAAGTTACTGTCTAAATGGCCTTTCACTCCCCCTAAAGCTCCCTTCAGTATTTTGTATAAAGCATGTCTACTGTTGATAAGTTATCTCAGATTTTGTTTAACTGTAAAGGTCTTAATTGTTTTCATTTTTGAAGGACATGTGTGGTGCTAGGTGTTGAACCTAGAGTTTCGTGAGCATGTTAAGTGTACACGCTTCTTTCCCTCTGTTCTTTTTCTGAGTACTCCATGCATATGTTCATGTATTCAGTAGTGTCTCACAGGTCTCTGATCCTCTGCTCATTTTTCTTTCCGTCTTTTTCTTCACTGAGATTATCAATTCATGTAACTTTAACTTGTCAGATTCTTTCTTCTGCCAGTCATATCTGCTGATGAGCCCTCTGGTGAATTTTCCAAATTCATTATTAAACTTTGCCAGGAAAAAAAAAAAAAAAGTTCTGCTTCATTTTTATCTATATCTGTACTAATATTCTCTGTTTGGTGAAGCATTATTTTTGTATTTTTCTTTAGTTGTTCATAAAGGGTGTCCTTCAGTTCCTTGGCTGTGTTTAAGACAGCAGACTTAAGTTCTTTGACTTCAACTTCAAGCTCTCAGCTTCACCAGGAACAATTTTTATGCTTGCTTTTTTTCTCATAGAGATACCATATGTTTATGTATCTTTTCAGGTCTCATTTTTTTTGGTGTTTAAAACTGGACATTGTATATAATTTCCCACCTTTGTAAATCAAATTCCAGTTTTTGTTTAAAATGAGACATTTTATATAGTTTATCGTCTCTGGATGTCAAATCCCAGGGTTGGTTAGTCTCTTTGCTGCCTGTTTACTGACTTCTCAGCTCATTCTGTGAAGTCTGTCTTCATCATGTGTTGCCTCTGACCTCTCTGCATCAGCTCAGTTCCTTTTTGGACAGAGATCTTTAAATGCCTAGAAACATCCTCACCTTTGCCAAGGTCCTCTGGATTTTATTGGCACTCCTGTTCGGCTCTTACCCAGTCACTTTACGACCAACTGAGCCTTAACTTTTCATTTCCTGCTTGTGCTCAAACTTCAGCTGCAAGAGAGAGCTTGGGTCTCCTCGGTTCTTTCCTGGGTGTGAATGTGGCACTCCACATGGGCATGGCCTTCTACATCCCTGGGAATATTTCAGGATTTTAAAAGCCTGTGTGGACACTTTATTCTCCTCTTTGTCTCTTAAGCTTATCGATTACTCTATCATTATTTGCCTGGTTCTCTGCTGATGTGGGCAGCTGAAATCTTAAACAACCACCTCTAGTTACCCATTTTCTTCAGATCCCCTTTGAGAACAGCTTTGGCACAGAAAGTGCTCTAGGTCAGGTCAGATAGAGACAGTTCTCTGGGTTGGGTCCATGCAAGAAGCCCAGCCCCATCCTACTCCAGTGGCCCCCAGTCTGCTGCCGGTCGTGCCCCTTGGTTTTTCAGGCCCCTGCAGAGTTGGGGTAGAGGATGGGAATAGAGGTTAAAGTATCACAAAGCTCACATTCTTCCCAGGATATAGCCAGTCTTCAAAAAATAAATGCTACCTAGATGTCCACATTTCTTTGATCAGTTTCCAGGGTCCTGAAAACAGTGATCCTGACATTCTTCTTTTTTTGTCTCAAAATCTCTTTGCTTTTGTAGAGAGAATGTCTGGAAGTTCTTACTCTGCCTTTTGTCCTGAAGTCACACATACGCGCTTTTCGTCACACCCTAATTAGACATATAGCTTCATGTCAGCTGAGTAGTTAATGAAGACGCACTAAAAGCAGAATGCTGCTTTCTTTCCGGGAAGTCCTGACTTCTTTGTATTTCTGTAACATTTCAGGACTATGACGATGGATATGGAACTGCTTATGATGAACAGAGTTATGATTCCTACGATAACAGCTACAGCACCCCAGCCCAAAGGTAAGAGTCCATCCTCACAGCCGGCCCCACACAGACACGCGTGCCTTTCAGCACGTGTGTGCTGTGGGAGTTCAGCCGGTGAGGGGAATCTGACTTGCCTTGCTTTGTTTTGCATCTTCTCATTTGAGAAGCAATATCTGTTCTACCAGCCAGCACGTATCACCCCATTCAGATTCGCTGTGGTGTTAAAGCACTCAGGCTTAAGAAATAAAAACTGAAATCTTATTTATTCTAAAAACTTGACGTAAGTGTTCAGTATATCCTGAGGAGGAATATTTGCCTCAGAGGGTGTGACTGCTCCTCCTAGGGTCAAGAATCACATGAGCAAGGTGTGAATGTCCTGCCCTGCCAGTGCCTGTGGAGGAAAGTACCACAGTGTTGTTCCCTATTTGTAGAAGGTTTGGTTTCTTGGAAATGGTGCTCCTGTTTTCTAACAGCTCTAGATGCCTCCTGTGAGTAATGAGTTAGTTCCGAATCATTTTCTAAAGTATTTACTTAGAAATAAGTATTGTCAGAGGCAAAAAAGAGCTTTCTCATTGCCTCTTCTGGTAATATCCCTTGATGGTCATTGATATGTGAAATCCATTTTTATTCTGTTCAGAATGTTTTCCTAAACGCCTGGAAAGCTTTCAGTTTAAGATTTTGTTTAAAAGTGGAGAAAGAAAGGCCAAAATAAAACAAATATTGGCTTTACAGTGACTATGAAGCGTAAATAAATACAGACCACGTGGTTATTGTAATGAAGCATCAACTTCTGAACTTAAACAGTACTGTTCAGGTTCTGAGTACACAGGGTCTCATTTGTTACCTCTGTTACTAGGATGGCAGAGATTTTTTAAAATTGTCATTTGTGCCCAGGGCAAATTATCTCTTATGTAACAATCGGTTAAGCAGCTTTCCACCTTTGTTTGTTTGGTTTTTTTTTTTGGTACTGGGGATCGAACTTGGGTTTTTGCGCTTGCAAGGCAGGCAGCAGAACCACTGAGCTAAATCCCTGGCCACCTTCCATCTTTGGCTGGCAGCTGGTCTTTGTTGGTGAAAGCTTGGCGTATCACGTTTATGGGAGTAGAGGCACACCTGGTGTTAGCGGAACCCATCCATTGGCCAGCACATCACCCATGCTAGATAAGAGTCTCGTGTAAGTGTCCTAGCAACTTTCTGATGTGTTTGGCACTTTCCCCACTCATTGAGTAAATGAAGAAGAGAGCAAAAAAATCATCTGCCCTGGGCCAGGGACTTAGCTCAGTGGTGCTGTGCCTGCCTCACAAGCGCACGGTCCTGAGTTTGATCCCCAGTACTGCAAAAAAAAAAAACGTCATCTGCCAAAAGTCACACAGTAAGTGGAAAAATGAAATTCTAAGTCAGACCTAACTCAGAGATTTTTTATTCTTTGTAAATAACTGGGTCTTTCTCATATTTTACTTTAAAACACAAATATATCAGTTTCAGTTTTCAGTCTAAAGAAAGTAGCTGAGCAAGCCTTCCCCTGTCACGGTGTCTGCTGAATTCGTGGTGTGTTCTGTGTGTTTCGCAAGGCCGCGGGCTGTGTCCTGTACAGTCGTCACTCCTGATGACAGTCCTGTAGCCAGGTGCTTGACAGGGAGACTCCAGGGCGTGCTGGTGATGAAAGCTGATGCGCGGTGACTCAGGCAGTGACTGCCACATCGCACTCTTAACCCTGGCTCCTTTCTAGAGCATCGCTGCAGTCTTCTCTGCTCCTCCCCCCATAGCCATCTAGTGTTCCATGCGTTGGACTTTCCGATGAAGGGGTCTGTCCTTGCTTGAGCTGTGTGTGCAACTTGAGTACCTACTGCATTCTGCAGTCTGTGCTAGTGCTTCGTATATTTGATTTCATTTAATCTTCACAGGCACCAGTCCAATTCTGTGTCGTAAACATTGTCTGTAGTTAATAGCTGTGAAAACTGACACAGCTTTTCAGTGAAGTGCATATGCAGTACAAGATTATAGCCTCCATAGTCTTTTGTTTTTCTGTATTTGACATAAAGAACTAAATTTAAAGCAATTTAATTCAGTAAGTGTCACGATCTGTCAAGGAAAGTGATGTCACGTTGTGCCTCCTGCTGAACTGATGGAGAACAAGAAGCCTATTCATTTAGACCTTATTCTAAATCAGGCATGGAATTTAAGCCACTGCTTACATGCTCATTTAATCCAAATGACAGCTGTGAGAGTTAATGTATGTGATGAAACTAAGACCTGGGGAAGTAAATGGCTGATCCCAAGTAGAATGCTGAGTGGAGAAGCTCAGGCTCCTTCACTGTAAGCTGAGATAATATGTTAACATGAGTTACCATAAGCATTCATTCTCTTGGTCTTCCAGGTAGTATTCACTGAATATGTTGTATGCTAGGTGCTGGGCTTGATGATTGGAATACAAAGATTAAGGTAGAGACTATCCCTGAAAAGCTCACTGCTAGATATTTAAATGCAGTGCAATGTGACAGGCACTATGAGAGACCTGAAGAGACATTCAATGTTTCCTGTACAGACAGAGCGATGTTCTGGCTTGGAATTTTGGGGACATAACCCTCACATCCCAGATGGCAAACATGGAGGGAATGTGTACAAAGTAAGAGTAGACGGTAAAAGGGGAATGACACAGAAAGTTTTGTGTGAGAAGCGGTCGGGGCTAGCATGTGTGACACTCAGTCAGGAGAAGGGGATGAGATGGGAGGAGTCATAACTGCAGGCTCCCCATTCAGGAGCTGAGACTTGATACTGTCAGCAGTGGTAGGGAGCCATTGAAGTTACATGCAAGCAAATGACCTGCGTGGACTGGAATATAGAGAAGTTAATTAGCTGACAGTGTCAAGGCTGGACTGGCAGATGGTGAGCCTAAGGGCAGAGACCAGTTAGGTAGCTGGTAAATTATAAATTATAAGGTCTTTAAGTGTCAGGAAAGATGCACTGAAAGAAACATCTTGCATGATATCCAGTCCGCCTTCTTTGAAGTGATCATCGCAGTGCTACAACATGTCTTTCCTGAAGGAGTACAGAGCTTTATACGGGCATTGCAAATGTGAGCAAAGCAAAAGCCACTGTTTCTTAGGCACACTTTCATTTAACCCTGTGACATGCGGAGTAAATAGCTTTTTCTTTTAAAAAAGAAAAGCATCGTTCACAAAAATTAGATAGATTGCTTAAGATCATATCCCTTAGAAGAAGGAGCCAATGAACCTCAGTGTATATCGCTTCCACTGTAGCACTCCCAGGCTTATTTACGTGCTGCTTCCTTGTAAATGGAAGTGAAGCCCTCATACTATGCAGTTGGGTGCAGAAATGGCTTTATCCATTGTATTAACTTGCTGGGGCTCCTATAACAAAATTCTAAAGTCTTGGTGGCTTAAATAACCAAAAAGCAGAGTGTTGGCCAGCTCTCTCCTCAGAGCACCTGCTCTTGGCCTGCGGAAGGCTGTCTTCTGCCCGGGTCCTCTCATGGTCTCCCTTCTGTGCCTGCATGCCTCTTGTTCTCTTCTAACAGCATGAGTCAGATTGGATTCAAACCCACCGTAAAGGCTTTATTTCAGCTTAACTTGTTAAAGGCCTGATCTCCAAGTACACCCCAGTCTGAGGTTTTGGGAGTTGGGGCTTCAATATACTAGTTTTAGGGGAGGGTACCCATAATACAATATATACTATACAATATACTATATATACTATACAATAATACAATATACTAGTTTTAGGGGAGGGTACACCATCCTACCCATAATATGAACATACCAAAGCACTGATGTCTGCCTGGCCCTCTTGGCCTCAGAATTAGGAAGCTTGTATAACCTGAGTCATCTCTAATATTGTGTAGTGGGTAATGACAAAGAGATCAGCATTGCTGTCATCTTCAGTTGGCCAGTGTTTACTGTTTGCTTGACACCATTCTGTGGACTTTACACAAAGTGTCTTTCCCATCTCTTCAGCCCTTGTGATACAGCTAGATTCAGTCTCCATGTTATTCCTTTGCCTGATTTTCAGAGAAGTGAGTGCTTGTGAATGTCACAAGGCCAAGCAGAAAAGCAAATCCTCTGTGGCCTCAGCACTCCTTTTTGTATCAGCCTCCGTTACATTACCTTTCATCTCTCCTTTTCCCATTGTTTTGATTTCAGTCGCTGGAATGAATCCTTATTTGCATTTCCTTTATACAGTATTCAAAAATTTAGTGCTGTTTGATGCATTCAAATCTCTTAGGTATTCTGCTTCAATCCAAACTAAAAGTTTTGCCTTATCAGGGTCTCAGAGTTTCTTCAACAGCATAGAAGTTTACTTGCTCTGAATATTAAACCTGTAGGCTAAGACTAGTGAAGTTAAGAACTTTGCTTTTCCAACTTTACATTAGACCATTCATCAAATAACATCCCCTGCCATTACTAGGAAGGCATGTATAGTCTTGAGTATCAAGACAGTAGATAATACTTTCCAGTGCCGTGTAACACCTGTTATCTAAAGTCAGAAACATCTCTAATTTTGACTCTTCAGTTTCTAGAAAATTAGTTTACGATTTCACTAATTGTCTCAATTTAAAATGTGCAAGTAGATTCTCTGCTGTAGTTATAGATGAGGACTACTTACTTAGTTTGCTTTTGAAGAACAAGGTGATACTAGAAATGTTTTTGAAACATCCTGTTGTAGGAGAGAGCACTGAGTAAAGGTAAACGCCACACTGTCCACTGTGGGAGCTACTAGCACAAGGAGCTGCGGGACACCTGATATGTGGCCAATCAGATAAATATGCAGTAGACGTATAAAACACACACCAGATCTGCAAAACTCTGCATGAAGAGAAAGAATGTAAAATAGATGTTATGTTGTTAAAATTAATCTTATCTGTTTAGTTTTATTTTTTAAATGTGCATATTAGAAAGCTTTCAATTATACAAGATGTGATTGACAAATACAGTAAATGTTTAAATGTTTAAAGAAATTACAGGAAAAGATACACTGCCATTAATCCCCCTCAAAATATTCCCCTTTGTTTTAAACAC